GATAGGTATTTTGAAAGATAAAACAATCCAGAGCTAAGTGGGTAGCAAAATTTTAATCACTGGAGCTCTTCCTCCCTGTCTTATTGCTACCCTATCCTAGTCTTGAACCCAAGAAGAAGTATGCCAGAGTTCTCATATGTACAATACTTGTTTATTTCCATTGACTTGGTTGCAGAAATCTCACTCTTTCATATCACTAGGGGGAGCACTTACTCTTTAAATAATGGGAAGAGAAAGGGAAAAAAAGTTCCAATTAAAGATGCACTTTATGATAGGGGCAGTGGCTGTGGAGGGGGTGTGTGCCTTCTGTAGTCCTAGCTATTCAGAAAGCTGAGGTGGGAGGATCATTTTAGCCCAGGAGTTACAGCACTATGACTGCGTCTGTGAATAGCCACTGCACTCCAGCCTGGGAAACATAATGACATCCTGTCTTTAAGAAAGAAAAGAAAAAAAAAGTAAAGCCCTTTATCTGACTGTCCCTGGAAAGAAAAGTGCAAAATGCTTCAAAACTCACAGCACAAAGTAAAAAATATTTTTAAAGTCACAAATGACTTTAAAAGTAAGCAACATAAAAGCTAAGCTCAGTACGTTAACCAATCAACATATTTAATGTACAATAGCAAATATTACTTAAGGTCATTTGGTAAAAATATATATATCAACAGGCTGACCTTACTCAGTTAAAAATGCTTTATGATTTGTGAAGATTCTAATTTCTGATAAATACTATTAGCAAAGGAAGTTAATGGATATCTATCACAAACTTCAGTTGGTATACTTTGTCTATTTATTCAGTTATTGGAAGGCTAAATTAATACCATTATCCTCTTTTAAAGTTTTAAATGTAACTAGAGCACTTAAGTAGCAAGGAAGAAGTGAACAAGAAAAGGAGACAGAAGGGAGTTGACACTAATGAAATTAGTGCCAGGTGCTTCAACCACTCTGGGAAAAGGAATTATTTCCACTTTACGAATGAAAAGCAGGGCTTGAAAACCATAACTAACTTGACTATCATCACATAGATAATAAATTGTAGAACAAGATATAACCCATAATACCCAAAACCAAAAATATCAGAAGTTGCTTAATTCATCTGGCAGTATAGTCATCTTAGATACCCTTTATTCCATTAAGTATATATTTATTTTTTTAGCCTTCATCATGAACTTTATTCATAAGGGAATTCCCTTAAAACCCATCTAAGAAATAAGAGATATATATTTATATCACACCAAAGAACAAGAAAGAATAACAACAACAAAGCTTGCCCTTGTCCTCCAAAACCTTGTCCTCCAGGACCTACAATCTACTGAAGAAAACATGCACACATCGTTCAGGAATATAAATCGGTGATTCACAGCCAATTGATGAAAGCCACCACTAAGTGATAAAGGAGCTCAAAGAATCCTGGGATCCATGTGGTTTAAACAGTTAGGGAAGACTTTATGAAAGATGCACGATTACAGCTGGATCCCAGAGATGGTATATGTTGGGTAGGGATATAATGAAAGAGTACTCCAGGATGGGGAAAAGCAAAAGTTAAGGATAAATACAGTGAAGCTGTGTAACAGTGAAAAGGCCAGCATGACTGCATCAAAAAAGTGAAAGAATAAGAGGAAACAACCCAGTATCCATCAACTGATGAATGGCCAAACAAAAGTGCTATATCCATGCAGTAGAATACTACACTACAATAAAAAGGAATAAAGTACTGATATCTGCTACAACATGGATGAACCTTGAAAACATTATGCTAAGTGAAAGAAGTCAGTCACAAAAGGCCACATACTGTATGATTCCATGTTTAGGAATGTCCAGAATAGGCAAATCCACAGAGATGGAAAGTAGAATAGTGGTTCCCAAAGGCTGAGAGGGTTGTGAAGTGAGGAGTAACTGCTAATAGTACAAGGTTTCTTTTGGGGATGACAAAAATATTCTAAAATTGATTGCAGTGACTGTTGTACAATTCTGTGAGTATAATAAAACCTACTTAACTATACAGTTTAAATGGGTGAACCTACATGAACTATGAATTATATCTCAATAAAGTTAGTTTTAAAAGTGAGGGACTGTTGCGATATCACATTGCACAGCTAAGACAGAGTGACTTACGGAGTATTCTGAATGCCTGGCTTCAGGGTCCACATTTTATCTGGTAGGGAACTAGAGATATACAAGTAAAGATTCACCTAATGAAAGCACAGTACACATACTTAAGATTCTTCTATAACAAAATCATTCACATGTTTTAAGTACATTCCAAAAACATATGCAAAATCACAAAGAAGAGAATGAACAAGAAAAATATGTGATATGATTCTGACTAAGACACAAGCTGTGACTATTAGGAAAGTTGTTTTGCTTCAGTGCTAAATGCCACAGATGGGTATATCAGTATCGTATTCATGCAAAACCACAAACTCATCTATGTCAAATCTTTGAAGACTGTAATATTCTAAACTTAATTGTGAAAATGTTATTAATAACTGACCTGTCATATTTCAGGGTAAGGCAATAAACTGTAATTTGTTTCTTATCGATGACAGTAGTCTGTAAATAAAGCTTTTTTAAGATATTGGAGTCAATAAAAATGCTATCGGAACCTCCACTAAGGTGGACAAAGACAAATATGACTTTGAATTCTAATTTTAACATAATACTCCCAAATAGTTTTAATATACAAAATAAAAGAACTAAAGAAACAAATGACACATAAAAGCAGAGAGCAAATATATATATATATATATATATACACACACACACACACATATATATATTATTTTACACATTATATATTATTCGATGTAGAGGAAAAGGTAAAATGCTCAAAAATAAACCTGAAAATCACTGACAGAGAGGAAAAATGGACTCAGCAAAGTACAAATTTTTAAAAAACGAATAAATTGCATTTACAATAGCAGGCTCAATACATGAGAGAAGATGAGAAGGCCTAAACAGAGGCAAAGTTTGGAACATCTCTATGAAACAATCCTGTCCCCTCCCCCGAATCCCAGGGAAGAAAGACCCTTTCAGGCATTCCTGGCATTATCCCTCCCTAAGCTGAACTAACGTGAAATCCCACATTCCCCCAGGAGGTGGTAAGATGGTAGGGATACAAAAGGAGAACTCAGTTGAAGAGCCCATACACAACCAAACTAGTGTTTTCCTTCTGAGTCACCTTGCAAACCTCCTTCAAGTTAGATGAGCCACAAGAAACTAAAGGAGATATTGGATCTCTTTTAAAACTCTCTTGTCTAAGAATAAGAAGGCCCATCTGTCTCTATAAGGGCTTTGTAAATTCCAGAACTGAGCGAAAATTATGTTGAGTGTGAGAAATAAAGACAACTCAGACATCCTGGTTTGCTAACAAACAATAAAGGCAAAATAGAAAACAAGCTTTCCTAAAAAAGAAATCTTATCACTGATATCTAGAATATGGTGTCTTCTATCGCAAGTAAATAGAGCAAGACTCTCTATTTCCTAACTCTAAGCCAGTTTTTATACTAAAGAAAAGAATTCAGTAGGAATAAACAGGAGCTTACTGTTGTAGATTAAAACACATTTATCCACACTTTCTCAATTTTCTACCTACTTTGAGTAAAAGAAATGTGGAAAAAGGCAAATGTGGACAACTACTGTTCACCATAATAAACATGGTAATTATTAAGGAATAAAGTATTCTAAATATAACACAATAAAATATGAAAATGGATTAAAAGTTGAATTCTTCTCTCAGTAAACACCCAAAACATATACTGTTGAATTCATACATAAATAGTTTTCTTTTAAGTAAATAGGTAGAAATGATGAGAGCATGCTACCACAGATACCCCAAAGATGGGGGAAAACAACATCAACATAAAGTCTAAAATGCAGAAACATTTCTAAATGATACAATTATCAGAGGAAATGGTCTACATGGTAAATGTGCTGATATTCTGACTAAAGCTAGAACAGAAACTCATGATGCCACTTTTAGCAGGCTAAAAAAGTAATTAAGAAAATTGAAGACCTGGAGAGGAATTTTTTTTTCAAAGGATCATTCAGCGAATAATACGGGACTAGAAACATGACCTATAAACAAGAAAGGAGAACAAGAGACTTGCCAGTACCTGAAACTGGCGCCGAGCTAAAGAAACAAGGACAACAAATATCCTAGGAAGTAAATAACATCAGTTTTCAAAATCTGATTCTGAAAAAAGAGAAAGTGAAGACTAATTTGCAAAAAGGGAAAAAAATGTTGTGTAAGCTAATGAAAAATTTTTACGTAAATATACACAAAATGCTGTAGGAAATTTCTATTTCTAAAGGATTTTCATCAATTAGTTAAAATATCATTAAGGTTCACTGTATTCGTTTTTAAGATGCTCAGTCTACAAGGCAATGTTTTAAATAGTTCAGAAAAATCTTGTAAATATTTGCAGTAACCATTTACCTTAAGCAATTCTGTAGAGCCTGTGAGATGGTTTGAAATTTAAACGACAGTAGGCCCAGCTAAGTTTCTAAAACCCCTCAGACAAAATCATAAAGCTTGCATAGCAAAAGTAATACAAACAGGACATCCTGAACAGCAAAATTAACTATCACATTTGTGGATTTTTTCCATATAGTAGATCCCATATAATGCTCATACTCTACAATGATCTTAAAACTAATCACTGTGTACTCAACTCTCATCTAAACTTACTGAATCTTGCATGAGAAAAACCAAAGCCAGAAAAGAAAAAAAAAAAAAAAGATGAGGTTCAGCTCAAACCATCTGCTCTTCCTCCTTCAAGCAACGTTCTATAAATTACGTATTTTATTTGGGTTCTCAAAGTCGTAAGTCCATAGCCAAATATAATTTATAATACAGTTAAGTACTATGCACACAAAAGTACTCTGTTCAAGTGGCTAAGTAAATCTGAACATAACGGGAACATACATTTCAGAAAGCATTCATCTATGCTGCCACAGGGGGAAAAAAAAAAAAGCAATTTCACAGAATGATTAGGAAATACCTGAGCAGATAAACAGCCCTTTCAATATCACTGAGGTCTTCATCAACTGTCAATCTTTCTATTTCTTCTGGTGTCTGTCAAGGGTAAAATACACATTATGCACCACAAACATTGGGTCGGTCTTGCCCCCCAACCTCCCAGTGAACCTCTATGAGGATAAACGAATGAAAAAGTTTCACAATTAAGCATTAACAATGAAAACTAATCAAGGAGCTGAGGATACCAGGCAACATCAATCACGGAGGTTTCTAACTGGGTGGTCGAGTTTGGGGAGGGGACTGTTTTTTTCTGGTTTTCTTCTTCTAGCTTCTAGATTGCAGCTTGAGAATCACATCGTGGCTTCAGAACCTTGGCCGAAATCCATTTCATACGCATGTTATAAAACGAATAAATACACACACTTTTTATCTCTAATACCTCAAGGCTATTTCTCCAGCATTTTCCACCCCACGAAATGCTAAAAGGAGTATGGATGAAGACTGCAGACGAGTGGGCATGAAAAGGACAAGATCTGGAGTGGGGGAGAGAAGAAAATAAACTCTGGGACTGGAAGAAAACCAGAGATTTGAGATATTGCGGCAGGTGGGAGTTAGACGAGCTAAAGCAGCTATTAAGCGATTCAGGAGAAAGGGGGTCCGTAAACTAGGTTTGCCTGCGCTAAGGGCAGGAACCTCCCCGAGGAAGATGACTCTGCGGGGTGGGGGAGCCAGTGGGGGCGGGGGGAACAAGCTGAAGGTTGACTCCCTCAAGGGGGTTGGGGAGCAGGGTCCCAGCTAGAGTCCTGGAGGGGCTGGGAGGAAGGGATGCGCGGTGACTCAGGATGGCGGCAAAGGATCGCGAGGGCTTTGAAGACCGGAACCAGGACGACACTGAGAAAGGATGCTAGCTGGGAGGCGAGGGGAGGCAGGGCTGCCTCGAGGGCAAGGGGACCCCAGCTTGATCTGACTTGGTGGGCTGGGGGTGAGGGGATGGGACGCGGGTGGTGTCTCCGGGAGAGGTGGGGGCAGGAGTAGGAGCCGTGTGGACCGAGGGGTGGGCCTGGGGCCAGAACCCGGGCGTCGTCAGCGGACCAGGGGTCGGGGAGCCCAGGAGAGGACCCGGGAGAAGTGGGCTGCGGCCTCTAGGGGCAGCTTCCGCGGGGAATGGGGGGCGGAAGGAAGGGCGCCCGCGACCGAGGACGCTGGGGCTGCCCCGAGGGCTGGGGCTCGGCCGTTCCTGGGGGTGGGACGGGGGGATTCGGACGCCTCAGGAGGGGCAAGGGCCGCGGGGCTGGCGCCCGGTCAGGGCTGGGACAGGGACACGTCTCTTGGGGATGGGGTTCCAGACCGAGAGGACCGAGTCCGCTCTGAGGAAGGGTCCGGGAGGAGCTGGCTTAGGGCGACAGGGGCTGGAGGAGGACAGAGGGGCCGGTCTGACTGAGAGGGTCCCGGCCGCCCAGAGGTGAGGAGGGTGGCGGGGTGGGGCGGAGGCCAGCGCGGGGCCGCGCGAGTCCAGCGGCCGGACGCCCTGAGGGCAGGTCTTCTCCCCGGGGCGCACCTTGAGGCTCCGGCGGACCGGCCTCTCGATGATGGTGAGCTCCTGCAGGTCCTCCATGTAGCCGAACAGGCTGTTCTGACTGAAATCCATCGCGGCGGCGGGTGGCGGCGGATGCATGGACCGCCGGGCACCTTCGCCGCCAGGGCCGGAGCGGCCCCGGGATGCCGGACGCGCTCAGCCCCGCGGCCGCCCACCAGCAGGACTTTCTCCCGCTTTCGGCCGCCGGAGCCGAGCGTGAGGCTGGCGGGAGCACGAGCGCAGCCCGGCGAGGGGGCGGGGCAAGGCGCGCGGGCGCGCTGCGGGGGCGGGGCCAGGGGCGGGTGCCCGCCACCTTGCCCTCCTCGGCCCCGCCCCCTCCTGGGCGCCGCGCACACGCGGCCGGACGCAACGACCGTGCAGCTACGCGGCAGCTCCGCCACCCCTCTGGGCCCGCTCCCTGCCGCCCTCCTTAACCCCCGTCCGCCCCCAACCGAGGGCGCCCCACCCCGCGGCGCGTGCGCAGAGCCTTTTGCCTCCCGCAGCCGGCAGAGGCGGGCTGGGGGCGGGGGCTGGGGGCGGGGAGGCTGAGCCAATGAGAGCGGAAGCCGAGGAGAGGGAGCTGACGGGGCTGCGGCTGCACCTGCTGACTTAACTGTCCAGCTATTCCCAGGACCGCCCACCCCAGCTAGCGGGCCGCGGACTCAGAGACCCCCCCCCACCCCCCGGCACAGCTCCAACCCTGGAGAAGGGCTGAGTGCCCCAAATAAGCAGTTAGGACATGGGGTGCCCGGCTGACGGGGGAGGGCTAGCTTTTGGGCATGGGCAGCATTCGAAAAAGGCCTCCTGGAGAAGAGTCATTTAAACTGAATCTTAGCGACCGATAAGGCCTTCGTAAGAGAAATAATTAGAGCAAGCCCGTCTGGGGTTGAAGCCTGGGTGTGTTTGGTTGGGTTTGAGAAGTGCCGTCCAAGAAGAGCTCGGGGCTCAGGCATCCAGGGCTTGGCGAGGTGGGTGGAAGAGGAATAGGACTTAGGTCCTGTGTGAGGAAAAGCCCTGCTCTGGACAGCCACGTTGAGTTCCTTGCACTTGGTTCTGTTAAGAATGGGAAGCGATGGAAGTGGGATTGGGGCGATTGTTTTGGACCTCGGGAACAAGTTATGTTGGTACACTTCGGCTCGTCAGTCAGGAAGGCCCTTTTTTTGTTTTTGTTTTCCACTCGTTCCTCCACACCCATTCTTCTTCCCGCCATATGCGCCCTCTTCTGAATTAAGGTATGTCCCAGTTCATGCACTGTATACAGCCTCAAAAGATACATGGTTTGTGTCTGTTTTTAACATACATGAACGGCGTTGTGATGAGAACTCATTCTGTTCCTTGTTTTTTCTCTGTCTTAGAAGATCTATCCATGTGACACTATACAACGAGTTCATTAATTATGACCAATAATGGTATTTGATTTCTGTGTCTAACATATTCTACTTACCAATTCCTCAGATAACGGACAGTGAGCGAGGCCACCAGCATTTCCTTGTTACACAGACCACGCTGAAATGGGTGTAAGACGTGTCCCTTACAGAACATAAGAAATTGAGTCGCTGGGTCATGAGGTCCACAGCGCTTGGCTTCACTCTGTCATGTTGCCCTCCAGATGGCTTTGCAGTCACACCCACACCAATGGCACATGAAGGTAGGAAGATACCCGTTTCCCATTTTATATGATAACATTTGGCATTATTTGATGTCCTAATTTATGTCAATCTGAAATCAGTAAAGTAGTATCACATTGTAATTTCGATTTGTATTTATTTTATTGGTGGTGTTAACCATTTTTCCATATACTTAAGAACCATTGGGATTGTTTTCCTTCTGTGATTATCTATTTACATCCTTTACCTATTTTTCTGCTGGATTTTATTTTTTTATGAAGGAATTGAAGGAGTTGAGTTTCTTATATGTTCTAAATATTAATCTTTTGTCAGCTTTAGACAAATATTGCAAATATTTCTCTCAACCTTTCATGCATCCTGTTAGCTTGGTTTTCACTATGTTACCATTGAGGAGAAATCCTTAATTTTCATTTAGCCTAATGCATCAAATTTTAGCCTTGTGGAGAGTGCTTTTTTACCTTGTTTAGGAATCTCTTCCCACCTATTAGTCGCAAAATATTCTCCTACATTTTCCTCTATTTGGCTTCATACTTTTACCTATCACAGATCTTAATCCATCTGGGGTTCACCTTGCATACAGTATGAGCAGGAATACAGTATTATTATTAACTCTGTTTAGTGAGCCAATTTTCCCAGCAGCACCCACCAAACCATCCATCTTTTCCCCTCCACATGTAATGGCATCTGTATCATATGCCAAGTCCCTAGAGACACACATGTCTGTCTCTGAGTCTTGTTGCTATTCTATTTATCTAGATCTGTTCCTATGTTAGTGCTGTGCTGATTTTATTCCTATGGTTTACTTATACATCCTAAGATCTGGTAGAGTGAATCTGCCATTCCTGTCTGTTTTGTTTTCAATTTTGCCTTTGAAGTTCAAAGCAAAATGGTCAATAATGATGCCCACAGCTAAAATTCGGGTTTTCTAATCCCTACTTTACTAAGGAGAAGTGAAGTAGAAGGGCACAGAAATATGGCAGGATGAGGATGGAGAAGAGGCAAACATGACGAGGTGGTTTTCCTAAGCAAATATCTCACAGGCCCCTTTTCTGTCAATTTCTGAAATTCTCTGTCTTTTGATTAGTAAATGATACGAAATATTACCTGTCAACTTTACCCTGTTCCAGTGAAGAAGTATTATCTCACATTTGGATTTTGTAACAGTATCATCTAAAACTGGAGGACGTTCTTAATGAAGATTGATTGAATATACAAATGTATCTTTAATGTTGGCCATTCCAGGGCAGGAGGTTGATGAAGGGAAAATGTTCAGTTCAATGACTGGAATCTGTAACTGCTCTAATTACCACTGTGTGGTAGAAGTAGCCTGCCCAGCCTGGCTGCCAGGAAACCTGAGTCTCAGTCTTGGCTCTGCCAGTGACATGTGGCAGAATGACTCTTGGAGCTCTGTTTTCCTTATCTGAACTGCTTTCCTGCATGTTGTCTCAACGTGCCCTCACAGCATCCCCGTGGAGTGCAGAAAAGCTGCATCACTATTCTAATTTTACAAATAATGAAATTGAAGCTCAGAGAATTTATGTGACTTAGTCATGAACACACAGCTAAGGGAAACTAGATTTATCCACTTTGTTTATTCATTTAAAAATAGCAGATAGGCTGGGCACAGTGTCTCACGCCTGCAATCTCAACTCTTTAGGAGGCTGAGGCAAGTGGATTGCTTGAGCTTAGGAGTTCAAGACCAGCCTGGGCAACTTAGTGAAACCCCATCTCTACAAAAAATACAAAAATTAGCTGGGCATGGCAGCATACTCCTGTACTCACAGCTACTAGGGAGGCTGAAGTGGGAGGATCGCATGAGCCCAGGGGCTCAAGACCAACCCTGGCAACACAGCCTCTCTACAAAAAATAAACAAAATGCGCTAGGTATCGTGGTTGCACACCTGTAGTCACAGCTACTTGGGAAGCTGAGGCAGGAGGATCACTGGAGCCCAGGAGGTAGAGATTGCGTCACTGCATTCCTGCCTGAGCAACAGAATGAGACCCTGTCATAAAATAAAATAGCATGGTGCTAAGTAAGCACATGGACTTTGAAGCTCAGGTACTTGGGTTTGAGTCAAGCACTGCTGCTTCCTATCTTCAGCAAAGTATTTAACCTCTCTGTTGCTCACTTTATTCATCTCTAACCTAGGAATAATAGTAGTACTTTGTGCAAAGTGTTGTGAAAATTAAATTAGATAATATGCATACAATACTTAGAAACATTCTTGGCCCAAGTGTTTGTTGTTACTATTATTATTGCCACCAGACCAGTGTCCTTCTGAACCCAGGTTCAGAACAGAGTCAAGAAGGTGTGCTGAATCAATTAATTACAATGGGAGGCAAAATAATATTTCCCCAAAGATGTCCACATCCTAATCCCTTGAACATATGGGTATGTTACCTTACATGGCCTAAAGAATTTTAATGTGACTAATTTAAGGATATTGAAGTAGGAAGATTATTCTGGTTTACCTTTGTGGGCTCACTGTAGTCACAGGGACCTTATATGTGAAAAAGGGAAGCAGAAGTTCAATGTCAGAGTGATGCCATGCAAGGATGCAACCTGCTACATTTTTTTTTTTTTTTTGAGATAGGATCTCACTGCATCCTTGACCTTCCAGGTTCAAGTGATCTTCCTGCCTCAGCCTGCTGAGTAACTAGGACTACAGCTGAGTGCCAGCTAATTTTTTTTTTTTTTTTTTTTTTTTTTTTTTTGTAGAAATTAGATCTTACCATGTTTCCCAGGCTGGTCTGGAGCTTCTGGACTCAAGGCCCACCTTGGCCTCCCAAAGTGCTGGGATTACAGGCATGAGCCACCAAGCCTGGCTGATTGCTAGTTTTTAATATGAAATGGCACCATAAGCCAGCACCCTATAGAATTTGGAAAAAAAAAAAAAAAACTTGAAAATTCTCCCCAGGAATGTAGCTCTACTGATACCTTGATTTTAGCCCAGTGAAAACTATTTCAGACTTCTAGCTTCCATAAGTGTAAGATAATAAATTTATGTTGTTTTAAGCTGCTAGGTTGGTGTTAATTAGTTACAGCAGCCATAGGAAACTAATACAATGACCTGTGTGAGAAAAACACTTAAACTTGGTTTCTACCTCAGATCATACACACACAAAAAGAAAACAATTTTAGGTGAATAAAATGCTGAAGTATGAAAGGCAAATCTTTCAAACTTTTTGAAGAAAATATAGGCGAATAATTTTATGACATCTGAATAGGGAAAATTTTCTTAAAAGCATAAGCCATAAAATAAAACATTGATAAATCTAACTACTTCAAGTCCAGCCTGGGTGACAAAGTCAAATGCTATCTCAAAAAAAGAAAAAAATCTAACTACTTTAAAATTAAGAACTTGTATTTATTTAAAAAATACACCTCGAAGACCCTGACAAGACAAACCATATACTGGGAAAACATATTTACAACCAATTAATCATAGGTGAATTATTGTCCAGAATCAAGAACCTCAAAAAAAAAATCAGAAGACAACTAAATAGAAAATGGACAAAATATATAAACTGTCATTTTACAGAAAAACAATCACCAATATGAAAAGGAGCTCAATCGCAGTAGTGCTTAATTAAGAATAATTAACATGACCTT